CTGACTTCACTGAGGGCAGAGGTAAAAATTGATGGCATAATCAGCTATCCTAAGCTGTGTGAGTTGATCTCCTTGTGATACTGACTACTTGCCACTTTCTCTCATCTCACACATTCAATTCAAAAGTAAGTTCACTTGACTTTACCTGAAAACTATATCCAGACTCCATCTACCTGAAAACTATATCCAGACTCCATCTACTATGATCTCTCCTCTGTAATTTTGTAGCACCCTGCTAGCTGATCTCTTTGCGTTGTGTGGTCTATTCTGAGTCACAGAAATTCTTCTGAAAGATTACTCATAGTATTCCTCTTCCTAGAACCCTCTAGTAACCTCTGACTCAGTGAGGCATGTAAAAGTCATCAAAGAGTACTCCATTCCTACTTTGTCTTCTAAGAAAGACCACAGATTTCTGTGCCTCTGTGTCTATTCTTTGTGTTTGTCCCTTGTGGAAGAATGAATAGATACATAGTATTCAATAAATAATTATTGAATGAATGAGTAAATTAATAAATTAATCCTGCTTCCATCCTACTTTAATCTGCTTGCTCCATGTCTTACTATGCTCCTGATTCCTGGGCCTTACCTTTCCCCAACTGTACTATATCCTGCCTCACTTTCAACCTCAAGCAATGGCAATGGTCCTTCGCTGTTTCAGACCCAGATTAGATGACTCAGGCCCTGATACATACACCCCTAGTTCTTTCCCTCTTTCTACTCTGCCTGTTTAGAGCTGCCTCACTACCAGTCCGCCAGTCCCAACTGGATCCCCCTTCCCAACATAATATTAATAATCATGTAACCCTCTCCTGTATCTGATACTGTAAGATTCACTGAAAGCTAATAATGTAGATGAATGATTTTATTTCTATATTAAGTACCCATTGTCATTGGTACACATATATGAAATGACATTGCCTCCACCTAACAAGCTGTGCTACAAATATTCTGGCTCACTTTTCCTTTCTCCTTCTGTAACATACAAAACTTTAGTGAGAAAATAAATGTTCAAAGACATGACAACTAATATTTATTGAGCTCTTACAATTTTTGGGTACTTTGCTTTATCTTTCTTTGCATCTTTCCATATGCATATCTGCTCAAGGATGAGTTTAAACTTCTGAACTAGTCATTCAGCAAGAATCCTGACTTAAAATACTCTTGATCATAAAGTTACTATGGCTAAAAGTATTTTAAAAGACTTTTGAGTCATCTCACTAAGTAAAATCCAAGCTCTGTGAGTGTCCAATAACATTTAACATCAGTGTGTGCTATTTTCAAACCTTTTTTGAATGCTTTAGACATAATTATCATACTTAATGTCTTCAGCAGTCCAATGAGGTAGGGAAGTGAGGCATGAAGAGGTTAAAGGATTTGCTTAGTGTCATGTATTTAGTAAATAGAAGAATTGGGATTTGAATCCAGTCACTTAAGAACTCTGCCATCTTAATCCCTAAATGAGAAAGTTGTCTGAAGTACCTCAGCTGCCTTGCCCTTATCTACCAAGCTGAACTACAGACATACAGGCTCACTTTCCTTTCTTCTTCTGGAACACATAAAACTTAAGGCACTTCCTCAGCAGAGTTTTTACTGGGCCACCCAATCTAAACAAGATCTCTTCATAGCATTCAGGTCTTTTTCCTACAGAAGATTAGTTACAATTTATGGACTTATTTATGTATTCATCCTCCTAGCCCACATCTAGAACTTTTCCAGTAGATATTATTTAATATGTGTTAAATTCGCTCGTGAATTTAGTGTCACATAGCCTCACTGTAAACGCTGAGGAAGTACTCTTCTTTACTGATAGCGATGGTAAATAACTTGTCAAGGTCAAAGAGCTTAGAAGTGGTGAAATTAGGATTTAAGCCCCAGTCTTTCTGGTTGCAGAGTACCAGCAAACTATGCTATGTCCCAAGGTGCTCAGCATCTGAGGACCCTAAACAAGGAGATTACTAAAGCAGCTGGCAGATGAGTTCAATAATCTCCTCTATAATTATCTGCAAATTTGTAAACCCTGAAGTGAAAAATAAATTCTCCCTACTCAGGTTTCTTTTAGAGTGATGACTGAATGACCAAATAGAGCCTCATCTTGGGGGCTGCACTGAGCAAATCACAGCGCAAGGAGGCAGCTAATTGCTGAACTTGATTGCAACTGCTAATCACAGTCATAGGGAAAAAGTGTTGGGAATTAATTAGGCAAGGACCTTCCGAACAGCAGCGGGAAGCCTCCGAGTGACCTTTATTTACAGTCAGTTAAACAGAAGTGTGACTAAAAATGCCAGGGAGCAAATCAGATTATTAATATTGATTGCTTAAAGAAAATGAATAATTTAGAAGCCGAGTCAGAATAAATATCCAGTGACAGAGATGAAAGAGCACAGCATACCACATTTCTAACATTCATCTGTCATGCAGCAGTGTCCCCTGCTCAGAAATTGAGATTTTCACCCTCACAAAGCACAATTAGTTTCATGACCCAGCATGATTGCCACTAGGAACTGTTCTCATTCAGCCAAGCATTGGACCAGTCTAGGGTGTTGAACTAAAGCTTTTGTCAACATTTTGCATGGTAAACTGATTACAGGTTCATGGAAGGTTTACTTTCCAATTCTCATCAATAAAACATCAACCAAAAGAAGTTGGATTACATTTTCTGTATTTACTAAGGAAGGCTCACAGTTTTTAGTTTTTGATGACAGTATATCTTTGATGGTGTGTATATGACAGAAGTTTTCAAAGGGAGGGCAAAGGTTTCAGATTGTTTATAAGTAAAGACTTCCAGAGGTTATCTCCAACTTCCAATAAAAGTTACCTTTCATATATTGAAGTCACTTTTATGCCCGTAACCTCTAACTCCATTTGGGGATAAGACAGATAAAGAATATTTATTTATAACAAGTTCTTGAATAGGTTCTTTTGAATTACAAGGTTTTGTGTAAGCAATAATTTTTGAGATTTTTTTTAAGCCATGTTGAAAGGTTAGATTAAATTACATTTAAAATTATACTCTTCTTTACCTGGAAACACTAATTACATTTCCTGGTAGGGGGTTATTGCAATAATTCTGTTTTTGGACAATGGATATTAATAGTTTTGCTGAAATGAGAATATTTCAAAACTATTACAGTGGTGGAGAATTTAGATATGTTTACTTTGGATAGGAGAGAAATTAAGCTCTGTTGCTATCAGATTAATGTAGCAAATTAACTAGCTGTGTTCAAGGCAGGCACAATTTCTATATGACAGTAAACATAATTTGTAAACCAATCAATAAAGCAAGTAAGATCACTCATTTTTTTCTATCCAGTATAGGCATTAGTATTCATTTATGCCTATACTAATTTATGTCATTCATATTAGCATTATCTTATACACATATTTAGAAATAGATACTGAGATGAGACACTTTCCCTTTTTACACACTGAAAGAATTGAACTGTCCCCTTTTAAACATAGTTATTTGAAATGTAGTATATTTTCTTTCTTAATTATTCCACCATAGGATATCAAAATGTATCCCTGGAAAATCCCCCCAGGTGTTCTATTTTGCTATACTTGGGAAGGAAACAAATGCAAGTCTTGGGGAGGGCTGAAATAATTGCACATGTGATTTATTGACTTGCATTGGTCTCATTCTGTTGCCTGTCAGACTTTAGCAAATACTGTCCAGCTAATTTGTTTGACTGACCCTAGGTGAGACCGAGCACTAGCACACTTAAGCTCTTCTGCTCAAAAAAGATGGGCACTGAAGGTAGGAAAATTACACCAAGCTTGGCTGATGCTTCCAATCTGGCTTGTTATTGATTTAGGCATTGATGGAGTGTCTGTCAAACATGAGTTCTCACTTCTGTGATACAAATAGAACTTCACAGTAAGTGGTCCTACTCTTCTCAAAGAATCATCGATTGATTATTTCCCAATAATAGAAATTACTGCTGCCCTCGACCTGTCCAAAGAAACAGTAGAAAGATGGTCATCTGATTGTACATCTTATCTGTCTTGACTTTTTTCATGAGGATTTAAATTACTGTAACAGTTCTGGCTGAGGAAAGGTCATAAAAAAAAAATCAAACTCCTCAGTTCACTATGGTCAAACACCCCTATGCATGCAGTGCAGACTGATAATCTCCTGATGGGAAAATCTTCCTTCACTTGGTAAAGTTGCAGGGAAATAAAAGCCAGTGGAAGATGTATCTTTGTTCACAAAGTTGAAAAATATCATTATTTTATATGCAGCATTACACTATTTCTAATATCTTTTCAAATTACCTTGTTGGTTTTTTTTTTAAGAACATGTAACAGTGATGCTCAATGGATATGCAACAACAAAATGCAGCAAGTTTTAATTAAATGCTAGCATACAGCCTTAATCGCATTCTATGTTAGAGTAATACAGTTTTTATTGAGGTGTGCTAAATGACTGAGGTAGCTGGCAGGTGGGTTACCACAAGTCATTAGATTGTAAGGGAATTTTATGTGCTCTTGTTTGCATCTAGGTACTAGCACACTGGCTGTGGCAACCATTTTCCCCCAAAGCAATTTTCATTTTGGGGGAAAAAAACCAAACCATGCAGAATTATAGCCTCTCTTTTAGATTCCAGAAGCCTACTAAAATGGGACTAGACTGCTGGTAGAAAGCAGAGTTCACCTTTTCTGATTCTTTTCCTATTTCCAGGCAACAAAATGAATCAGGTTCCTTGGAAAGGCAATAATGTGCAAATGTGCATCTTTTAATACATGAAAGCTAACATTAAATACATGAGTGTATGACATTCTTAGATTTATTCTTTTTGCTACTAGAGGGTGGTGATTTTCACTTAAATTATATGCCATTTGTAATAGGAATGCCTGTCTTTACATGCAGATGCCCCCTGTTCCTTCCTATTATGGGAAGCAAGTAATATGAATGCAGTCATTCCTGGTATCAGATTATAACAGAAGCATCTTTAGAATTTGTAAAAGTGCTGTTTTTATTTTATCCCTTTGTTTATACACAGATTAAAACAAGATCCCCCATGACTGCAGCTTGTAATTGAGTAGAGTGTTCTGAGGCTGCCACAGAGCAATGGAGCAATGCTTGAGTGACTTCAGAACAGTCAACACCTGAGGAACAAATTTTCTCCTTGATCTTTCACCATGACCTTGAATTTTTTGATAATGTTGAGAAGACGTAATAAAAAAATATTTTTTAATGAGCAAAGAAATGTAGCTGCCGCAGGAAAGAAAGCATTCTCGTTATTTCTCGAAGGATGGGGGAGGGGTAGTTTCCAAATAATTAATTTCATCTTAATTTGCTTAGCTTTCTGTGGAAAACCATCAGATTGGAATTGCAGTAGGTTTCTTTATCTTTTTTTTTTTATTCCCCTAAAGTCTCAGCATAATTTAGAACGGAGAAAAGCGATTCTTTTGCACTTTGCATGCAAGTCACAGTTTGCTTATTGGGTTCCGAAGGATCCCTGGTCTCCAAGCTCCAGTACACAGCTGCCACTGCATATGTTGCTGCTTAAAACTAAAACTTGCTGAAATAATCATTCCCTATGTTTTTAAGATACTGTGTTTAAAGTACTACTTGACACATCCCATTTCTTTAGGGAGCTTGAATTTCTGAAATAGTGGACCCAATAAAAATCTAAGATTATTTTTCTGTTCAATATTAAACATTATGAACAATTCTTAAAATCATTGATAATCAGAATTCTTTTGAGCCTGAGGCATTGTATATACCTTAGTTTCTAGAATGCAAAACACAAATTACACCATATAATGAACTTAAAATGTGGACACTTTTCCAAGTAGATGATTTAAAGGTATAATTTTTTGTACATGCACACAAAATTTGCACAATTTATGTTTAAAACCATTAGAGGCTTTATTGAATTCTTTACTTCTCTGATCTTGCTATTGATTATTTCTAGCACCATTTCAAATAAGTCAAATGCAGAAAAATGTTTTAATTGTTTTGCTAGCTTACGAATCCATACCAGTTACCTTCATAGAAGATATGAACCACCTTCATATAGGTAGAGATATTTCTGATCCTAGACAACCATGGACTTCTACTTCTATTACATATAAATAAGGCAGTAAAAAACCTTGTCCTCAGTAAATAATTTCCAAAGCTACACAGAGAAAGAACTATTTGGACACAGCCAGGATCTGTATAGATTTTTAAGCTAGGTTTCTGTGGGAAAACACTGCTTCTGGAATTAAAAGCTTAGTTATCAGCATCCCTGAAATGCAAAGTTTAAAATATATGTTAGTGGAACATAGTCTGTGCACAATTCACTGACAGCTTGAAGAGTAAATTATCATTTGGAGTTTCCTACCATTTTCTTTCAAAAGAATTCTTAATAAGAATACCAAGACAGTTTATTCAAAAGCTCTAGGTATGGGGCCTCCCTGGTGGCGCAGCGGTTGAGTGCTGGGTTGCGAAGCTGCCGCGGCCTCTGCAGCGCCGGTTTGATCCCCGGCTGCTCCCCGGCCACCGGGCGAGGGTCCCACATGGTGCGCAGACCTCTCCTGCCGCCCGCTGCTCCCCTCAGCAGTGCACTTCGGTCCTTCTGCCTGTTCTGTTCCCCGCTCTGGTGAATTCTCTCACCCTCCCGCTCTTCTGACTGTACCCAGTGCTTGTATAAATAAATAAATTAATTAATTAAAAAAAAAAAAAGCTCCAAGTATGCTTGATGGATTCTCCCCACACATACTTCCTCCTCACCCCAGTTCTGGACTTCTGAATTGTCAAAAACAAACAAAACATTTCTAAATGAAACATTGTTCTAATTGTGGTTTTAACCCAATAATCATCACCAGGTTAAATTTCAAGGAATTCTAAAGATTTTTGTTTGCTAGAGAGAAAAAGAAAATACATTTTATTTGAATTAGAAATAGAAATTAGAAATACAGGAAATGATCAGAATATCTATATTTGATATATAACCTTTCAATTTCTGACTAATTCAATGATTAAATTTTTTTTTTCTTAATAGAAAGGTTGTATATCATCAATACAACATAGTCTTTAAAAAAATTCCTTTCGGGCCTCCCTGGTGGCACAAGAGGTAAAGTAGCAGCGCTATGAACCTATCTGCAGCCACGGCAGCATGAGTTGGATCCCCAGCCAGGGAGCTACCCACATGGCGCAGCAGACCTCTCTTGCCTTGTCTGCTGCTCTCCTCAGCAGTGTATTTCAGTCAATCCACCTGTTCTATTCCCCACTCTGTCTCTCCCCTGGTGAATCCTCTCACTCCTGCACCTTTGGCTTGTACCCCAGTTCTTGTATGCGTAAATAAATAAATCTTTAAAAAAAATTCCTTTCCATTAACTGCTTAAAGATGAATAAAATTATATAGGACCTCATCTATTCAACCCTTTAAGGATAAAGTGTACTCTAATTAGATATTCCTATACTAAGTAGACCCTAACAATTCGTTTAGACTATTCTTGTCATGTCATAATCCATTTTATGTCTATGGTTGGTTGTCAATAAATTCATCTCTCTTTACTAAACCTATTGAAAATTAAGATTTTTTTCGATTACTGTGATTAGGTTTGACTGTATGGATGAACTTTTTTTTTTTAATTTATTTATTTATGCACACAGGAACTGAGGTATAGGCCAGAAGTATGGCAAGGGGGTCATGTATGTGTGTGAAAGGATTCACCAGAGGCAGAGTGGGGAGTATAAAAGGCAGATCTACTGAAATACACTGCTAAGGTTAGCAGTGGGTGAGACAAGAGAGGTCTGTGGAGCAGTGTGGGTTAGCTTCCTGGCCCGGGATCAAACTCATGACTCATGCTGCAGTGACTGGAGATAGCTTGATAGCGCTGAGACTTAACCTCTGTGCCACCAAGGAGGCCCTAGATGAACTTTTATATATAAAAAATAAACATTTCTTTATTGGTTTACTCACTTTAGTAGAAATTTCTAGTAACTAGTGTGAAATCCAGAAAAGAGTATGTGCAGAATGCCAGACATGGCAAACTAGCAGTAAGTGAATTAAAGTTTATTGATTCATCCTTGATGGATATTGCAGTTAACAATGCAGATCAGGAGCTTTATTATTACTTAGCATATCTAAGAAAAATTCTTTATATGATAATATGTTTGGTAACTACTCCAAATGAGGTCGTGATAGATCTGTTTATAAAACTCTTCACAGGGCCTCCCTGTGGTGCAAGGGGTTAAGCACCGCACTATGAAGCAATTCGCAGCCTCTGCAGAACAAGTTCGATCCCTGGCCGGCCAGGGAGCAACCCACATGGCAAAGCAGACCTCTCCTGTGTCCCCCGCTGCTCCCCTCAGCAGTGTATTTCAGTCAGTCTGCCAGTTTTGTTCCCTACTCTGTCTCTGGTGAATCCTTTCACCCCCCGCATCTCTGGCCTATACCCCAGCTCTTGCATGCATAAATAAATAAATCTTTAAAAAAAAAATAAAACCCTTTACAGATATCTTGAGAGTGGAACTATGTTTTAAAAATATAGAACAGTTTGGCTAATTGATTGAATATGTGGGCGTTTGTATCAGAAATAACAGAGTGAGATATTGGTCCTATAGATAACAGGAGGGTCATATTGTGATCTATAGACCAGAAAGTGACATTAACCACTTGATTTGACTGATCACTTGTGAAAAGCAAGAGCCCAGAAGGCAAGAGTGATTTTAGATTTGCCAGCCTTTAGATGTGACTAGCTGAAGGAGAAGATGAACAGAAATTTTGCGATACTATGATGAGTTCAGTCTGGAGTCTTCTTAGTTTACCTGAATTCTAACTAAAGATATTTAGATGAGAGATGGAAATAACTGATGAGTTAACAATATTAAAAATAGAGATAGAAATGTGGGAGTCATCTATTATATATTCATGTCTACTGATTGAAAATAAGAAGTAAAAACAGAATAAAAGAAAAATTACATACAGTTCTGCTACCCAGCTATATGAGAATACAGTAATATTATAATATACTGTAATGCAACACACTGTCCGGTCTTTATATACATATACTTACATAAATGTGATCTTTAAGCCACTGTTTTTGAAAACTGGTAAGCGGGTAACTAAGATGTTTCACCATCAACATTGTTCCAAAGCCCTGAAGTTAATTTGTCACCATGTGCTTGCCACCAAATTGTAATAATAGTGACTAGGGGGGAGACATAGGAGTGGGAGAACACCATTGCATATTTCTATATATTAAGTGCTAAAAAATACATTTTTTGCATACCTTGTTTCAAGGCGGACTTGGGGCAAAAAATAAATGCAATTCAAAAACGCATTTGTACTTCTTAGGTTAATAGATCTAATCAAAATCGTTCCACTTATCCCTTCCACCTTCTTCATGGTAGTGCCTTTTCAGACTCAGACCTGATTTCAGCCAAATTAAAGTAAATGGCGATTATAATGGTTTAGTAATTAATTAATTAATTGGCAAATCAAATGTTCTTTCTTGAAGGAAGAAAGATCTTGCTCTAAGTTGGTACACTTTACACTTATGGCAATCCCCTTTGGACCTGTGATAATAGTGTTGGACATTATAACCTCAAATTGCTGTTTTAGAGGTTCCAAACAGAATTGTCATTCCTTGATTGCTTTAGTGAATGCCTTTGAGAAGTAGGAAAAAATACTACTCAGGGAAGCAAATTAAATGTAAGTAGAAGGTATTGGGGAAAATGCCTTAATCTGTGCTCTAATAACATATTTTAAAAATACGAGCGTGGGTGTGTGCCTTTCAAGTCTCCAGTGAGAAAAACATCCAAAAGTTCACAAAGCTCAATTGTTTTTCCACAATGCCTGATTAGGAAAATCAATTAACTAGGCATAATGAGCTCTGTGGAGAAATTGCTTTATTTCATCAAAACAGGAAGAGAAAATGTAAGACAGAAACTTTTTTTTTTTTTTGTTTTACCCTTGCACAAAGCTATGAGAGAGACATTAAGATACTGAGAGAAAATAAACAGAAAGATGCTAGAAGATGTCTCTACCTGCATAAATATTTGTTACCAGTTGTGAAATCCTAACCTTTCTTCCCTCACAGAATTCTGATCTTTTATGTATAGTACCTGGGCAGG